CAGCATCACGCCCACCTTCACCATCTCCAGTCCCTCAGATCCCTCCCACTCCTACAAAGACAGCATCACGCCCACCTTCACCATCTCCAGTCCCTCAGATCCCTCCCACTCCTACAAAGACAGCATCATGCCCACCTTCACCATCTCCAGTCCCTCAGATGTCTCCCTCTCCTACAAAGACAGCATCACGCCCACCTTCACCATCTCCAGTTCCTCAGATCTCTCCCTCTCCTACAAAGACAGCATCATGCCCACCGTCACCATCTCCAGTACTTCAGTTCTCTCCCTCTCCTCCAAAAACAACATCAAGCACACCTTGCCCTTCACCAGCCTCTTCGTCAGCTGTTACATGCATCTCCAAATTTGAGAAAAGTAAGATCCTGATTCGGTTATTAGTAAAATGAGTTTAAAATAGAATAAGTTTAGAATTTGCTGATAGTTATTATTTTAAAAAATTACAGGTGTTGACAAAGCTTGGTCTGGAAGAGTGTGGGACAAAAAAAGTCAACTTCTTGGCAAAATTGGCCCTTATAAATTTTTCAACTGGGACATCGGACGTCTTGCCCCTAGCAGACAACTAGAGAGTGAGGTCAGTTGTGTACAGTTGTGTACAAGGGAGGTAAAATTGTGACATAAAACTCTATTTAGAAAAGTTGGGTCAGAAATATATATGCTGTTCTTGTCACAGGTTATAAATGCATATATCTTTGCAATGGTCAGAAAACACAATCAAATCAGCGAGGACAAAGCTTTTATGATTGATTCTTTTGCTATGGCCAAGGTGTGGCAGGGGTCATACAACATTCTCAGAAAGGTACCATTTCTTCTCTTGATTATATATCTATAAATATGATTTATTTATTCTATCTATTTATTATATCTACAAATACAATATTGTATGTTAAAGAAGTGTGTAGTGGATGTCTTAGTCATGTCAATGCCTTTTTTGTCAGTGGAACCCCAAAGAGTACCAAATGGTACTTGGAGTGATCGGTGAGCACGGACACTGGACTCTTGCTGTAAGTGGACAGGCATATACATTTGTTTGTATATACATTTGGTTTAGCTTTAATTTTACAATTATGTTTGATTATTTGTTTTAGGCGATGTATCCATCACAAAAAAAAACTATTTTTCTGAATTCACTTGGAGAATCAAAGGAAAAGGTCACCCGATGCCTTGACACAACAAGGTCAGAAATAATATATCAGATTCTGTCACTATCAAAGCAAAAACATACAGTACTGTGCAAAAGCATTGGGCATGTGCAAAGAAATGGTGCAAGTAAAGATAAGTTTAAAATGTAATATACTGTAACTACACATTTTTACTTAAAAGGA